CCTTTTAATAATTAAAATACTCAAATACTAGGAATATAAAGGAACTTCTTCAACCTAATCAAGAGCATCTACAATAAACTTCACAACCAACCTTATAATTAATGGTGAAAGATTGAAAAGCTTTCCCCCTAAAGGAACAAGAGAAGGACATCTGCTCTTTCCAATTCTGTTCAACAGTTACTGGAGGGTCTAGCCAGTGCAATCAGGCAAGAAAAAGAAATAAAAGGCATCTGATTATTAAGGAAAAAGTCAAACTATCTCTATTTGCAGATGGTATGGTCTTTTACACAGAAAACCCTAAGGAATGGACACACAAACCTATTAGAGGTTAAAAACAAAAAGCCAGTTCAGCAGGATTGAATATAAAAAATAAAAGATCAAGATGCAAAAAATCATTGCTATTTCTATACATTAGATAGGAGAAATCTGAAAATGAAATTAAGAAAACAATTCCCTTGACTATAGCATCAAAAAGAATAAAATCCTTATGAATAAATTTAGCAAAATAAGTCAAGACTTACACACTAAAATGATAAAACATTACTTAACAAATTAAAGACTTAATGAGAAGACATCCTGTATTCATGGACTGGAAGACATAATATTAAGATGTCAATACTCCCCAAAGTAATCTATGGATGATTCAACACAATTCCTTCAGAGTTCCAGCTACCTTTTTGTAAAAATTGACAAGCTGATCCTAAAATTTACATGAAAATGCAAGGGATCCAGAGTAGCTAAAACAATCTCAATAAAGAACAACAAACTTGGAATATTCATACTGTCCAATTTCAAAACTTAATACAAATCTACGTAATCAAGGCTATGTGGTAATAGCTTAAGAATAGATACATAAGTCAATAGAATATAATTGAGAGCTGATAAAGTCACACATTCATGATCAGTTGATTTTCAGTAACAGTGCTAAGACAACTCAAAAAGGAAATAACAGTCTTTTCAACAAATGGTTTTGGGACAATTAGATATCCAAGTGCTACAGAATGAAGCTAGACCCCTACCTCACACCACCATAAATAATTAACACAAAATGGACCAATACCTAAATGTAAGAGCTATATTCTTAGACAAAAACACAGATATAAATCTTTATGACCTTGGGTTAGGCAATAGTTTTTTTAGCTACGATATACCAAAAATATAAGCAACCAAAGAAAAAAAACAGATAAAATGTACTTCGGCAGAACTGAAAACTATTTTTTGCATCAAAGGACACTACTAAGAAAGTGAAAAGACAGGACATCCATGCTGTAAGCCTGGCATGCTGCAGGGCCCTGCTTGCTTGTGTCCCATGTGGTAGAACTTGGCATGTATAAGGGGCCTGCCAAGGGCAGGAAGGAACTGGCACCTGACCCTGAGCTGGGTGTTCATGCTTCACTGGAGCTGGATGGAGGAGCAGAGGGTGTGGACAGGCATGAGGTATAGGCATGTCTGCCCCTTTGAGGACCAAGATCATGACCACCACAGAGCAAGCATCCCTGGGGTTCTCAGATAAAAGGTCCAACAGCCACCAAGGATCCAGTCAGGCTCAACAGGCTACTGCATCAGTTCCAGCAGAAGCAGGGCCAGACTGAAGCAGTGACACCACAGACTTGGGGCTCAAGGGGGTGTCTTAATGTCCCACAGCTGCTGTAACAAGTCATGCAGTGACTCAAAATGGCACAAACTGATGACAACTGTGGAGGTCATACGTCCAGAATGGGTCTCACTAGGCTGAAATCAAGGGGCTGACTTCAGAGGAATCCGTTTCCTGCCTTTTCCAGCTTGAAAGGCCCCACTCATGGCTGTCAACTGGGCAGGTACTCTGCTCCATGGGCCCGGCCTTACTTACAGGACTCCAAGAACAGTGCCTAAATCATCCTGAGAGCCCCCTGTGGTGTCACCATCACAACAAAGGAAGATTTGGGATGCACCATAAACCCAGAAGCCCAGAGATGGAGATAGGAACCATCAGTCACTGCAGGGAACCTTGGGGGTCCCACACACGCCTCTACAGGGGTCAGACCCTCAGATCGTCACCATCTTGGGAAGGGGATCAGCAGTTAGCAGAGGACTCTGGATGGCAGCAAGGAGCAGCAACGACACGGGTTCCCCCAACCCCCTACCCTGTTCAGCCCCTCACCCCCTGGCACATGGAGGAGGTACCATGCCTCTGCCTCGGGAAGCCTCAAGGGAGACACATGCACCCTCAGGATGCCCAATTGGGGGCTCTCCACTGGAGAGCACTGGCAGAAACTGGTGTCACCATGATAGTTCCAGGAACACCTTATTTGATGTAAAAATGGGTGGCACCACAGTTCTGATAAATCTCTACCTTTTTCCAGGAATTTTCATGAATATTCCATTCCTTGGTTAGAGAAACCGATAAAGGTAGCAGCCCCAAACCCCACTGCATGACGTTCTCTCAAGTACACTTGCACTTCCTTTTCTTGAGTGTGTACCCAGGAGGCAAAGGTTGCAGTAAGCTGAGATTGTACCAGTGCATGCCAGCATAAGTGACAAGAGCAAAACTCCGTCTCAAAAAAAATAAATAATAAAATAAAAATATTTGACAGGGTTTGGTTTTTCCATTACCACATATAATTTTGATTTGTCCTGTTAGTGATGATTAGCTTGCTTAAGATGTTTTCCACTAGGCTTCACCACTGTAAAGGTATTCTTTCTCCCCTTTTTTAAGAATTTTGTGGAGAGGTACTTTGAAACTATGTAAATATACTGTTCAACATCAAACTTTTTCTTTATTCATTTATTCATACTCATGTATTATTTCATTTATACATTATTTATTTATTTAAAACCACCGTGTTGGATAATAATACATCGTTTATTATCTTAGTATGGACTCAGATATATAATATATATATAATATATATATATATAATATATAACTCATTGGGTTATATTATAACTATTATAACCCATTACCATTTATTTTGATGCTCAAATTATCTCCGATTTGGCCAGCAGGAGCCCCTTCAAGTTGGTTTCAGTGTCCTTTTGACGTAGTCCCATAATTTTTTGAGCCATTCCATGTTTTTCTGTCATAAAAAGATGACCTAGGCTGATATTGTCCTTTTTTTTCTGCCCCAGCCCTTGGAATCAGCCCTGGTTTCTTTTAAAGAAGAATCATTTTTAGAAAACAAGATCCGAATGTTAGGTTCTTTGGCTTTGGAGTTCCCTGTTCCCAGATCCTCTCATGGGCAGAGCTTAAGAATATATATACATACATGTGTATTAAAATATTTAAGTATGTATACACATATATATAATATATACATAGGCATATCACATATATTTTCACATCTATATTTATGTCTATTATATATGTATGTATTGAACATATGAGTTTGCCCTGTTAAGTCGAATTTCAATTTGTCAACACAGAGTTCATTCTACTTTTCATCTTTTCCATATTTGCGACTCTGTTCTCTAACAGTAAGAAAACTGGCTCCCACTCTCCTTAATATATTTATTTATTTGATTAATTACCCTGTGTGTAACAAGGATTCCATTGCTACCTCTCCTTCTCCTAAGCAATGCCCTTCTCACTCAATTAAGGCTCCAACACTTGGTACTGGGCTGCTGCACCTCCGCTTAGATGGCCTCTTGACTCTGCTTATGCTCTCAGATCCTGCACTGGGCCACTCTGCCATGGAGAAGTCACCCTCACCTTCCCAAGGTACCAAAACATGGCACAAAGCTGTCCTCATTATGTGACACTCTCCCTATCCCACTCAGATTCCAACCACATCTCAAATGACCTCCTCCACTTATGGGGACACCCTCCTTATTCCTCATTGAGCTGTCCCCTTTGCATGAATACCTTTCGACCCTGATCTCTAATACACTGTCCTGGGCTACCTTGATGTGCAAGTACCCTCCTCACTCCTAATTAGGCTCTGACATCCTACACTGGACTATATCCCTATGTTGACACTCTCTTTACCTGGCTCAAGTGCCAGTGTTCTGGGATGGATGGTCCCCACCTCATGTGTCTATCTATAAGCCACACGCAGGTTTTGACACTCCAATGTGGCTACTGAGCACTTGAAATAAGCCTAATTGAACTAAAATATATTGCAGGTATAAAATATAACCAGGTGTAAGAATATGAAATACTTTATTCATAAATTTTTATATTGATGATATATACTGAAGTAATATTTTAGATATACTGGATTAAATAAAATATATTATTAAATTAATTTCACCAATTTCTGTGTGCTGTTTTCAGTGTAGCTACTAGAAAAATTTAAATTACAATATAGCTCACATTTTATTTCTATTACTGTTTTAGAAGTTTCTGGATTAGTGATGAGGAATCAAGAGATCAAAAGATTGAGGACTTGACATATATGCCCTCCACAGAATAAGGATGGAAACTAAAAATCTTTGGCTAGCTCTACAGGGGAGTCCAATCTTTTGGCTTCCCTGAGCCACACATAAAATGAACACTAACGATAGCTGATGAGCTTAAAAAAAAAAACAACCCTCATAATGTTTTAAGAAAGTTTACGAATTTGTATTGGGCCACACTCAAAGCCATCCTGGGTCACATGCAGCCCAAAGGTTAAACAAGCTTGTCTAAAGTCTTGCTGCCTAGAGGGACCTAGACCATTCAAACAAATGCCATAGAGACATGAAAGAATGCAGGTGTCTCGGAATAAGAATATATTGTTCTGGTGAATTGATTATGTCTGTGTAAGATGTCTCCACATGACTCTACTCTCTAATCCTGCTCTCAATTGTATATGCCTGCACAGAGATGGTCAGAAAGCCCTATACTATTTGTACTTGTTTTCTTTATGGACTCACCTGCTTATTTCTTTACTTCACTTAGTCAATTTGGATCCTCAGACTTGAAGTAAAAAACTCCAGAGATGATAAATCCCATCTTTTAGCCATAGTTATGTGCTTTTCTCAAATCTGAATTACCTCTGAATTAAAAGAAATAAGTATTTGTCAATTTTGTCATTACTAACCTGCATTTCATATTTCAGAGTCATGTGGAAGCACCAGGATCCCATTCCTACCACTGAAATTAAAACAAACAAATAAAAAAACAATTAGCATGAAATTCTTTGTGGGTGGCCAAAGCGACTTGAGAAGATAAGACATTACAGCACTGAGTTAAGGATAACGAATGTTATAAAGTCTAGTGGCAAGATATAGCTGACTGCTGAGTAACTGCTATAATTGATGAAATTTGGGTGTAGAAAAGAAGTACAATATACGTTCTCTTAAATTCCCTCTACTAAGTGACTTACTAGACTAAAAATATTCCATTATTTCTGTAAAATGTATTATCTCATGCTCAGAATAAGTTTGTTTTTTTTTCTTTTTTTAAGATGGAGTTTGCTCTTGTTGCCCAGTCTGGAGTACAATGGCACAATCTTAGCTCACCACAACCTCTGCCTCCTGGGTTGAAGCGATTCTCCTGCCTCAGCCTCCTGAGTAGCTGGGATTACAGGCATGTGCCACCACACCTGGCTAACTTTGTATTTTTAGTAGAGACAGGGTTTCTCAATGTTGGTCAGGCTGGTCTCGAACTCCTGACCTCAGGTGATTCACCCGCCTTGGCTTCCCAAAGTGCTGGGATTACAAGTGTGAGCCACCATGCCCACCCTTCTCAGGATAAAATTTAATGCTCATAGCTGGTTAGCTACTCCTTTGCACTTCCGATCCAAATGGCTAAGGTGTATGTTTACTAAGAGCTGGTCAGTTTGTTTCTGAACCTGTTGATACCACTGTATTTGCTTATCAGAACTATGACTGCAGAAAGAGTTGTTTCTCCAAGAACTATTTAAAATGCTTAAAATAGACTCAATAAAAATGAGTTGCTGGCTGGGTGTGGTGGCTCATGCCTGTAATCCCAGCACTTTGGGAGGCTGAGGCAGATTACCTGAGATCAGGAGTTCAAGACCAGCCTGGCCAACATCGTGAAAACCTGCCTCTCCTAAAAATACAAAAATTAGCCAGGCGTGGTGGCAGGTGCCTTGTAATCCCAGCTACTCAGGAGGCTGAGGCAGGAGAATCATTTGAACCCAGAAGAAGGAGGTTGCAGTGAGCTGAGACTGTACCATTGCACTCCAGTCTGGGTGACAAGAGCAAAACTCTGTCTCAAAAAAAATATATATATATTGTTGAATTAAGTGTGACTGGATATCTATTACAGACTGGGAAAAATAGTAAAAATCTAAAAAGATTCTGTAGGAAGGGCACATTGGCTCAGGCCTGTAATCCAGCACTTTGGGAGGCTAAGGCTGAAGGACTGCTTGAATGCAGGAATTCATGACCAGCCTAGGCAACACAGCAAGACCTTATCTCTGTCAATACATAAAAAAAATAAAAAGATTCGGTGTTCATGTCCTAAGTTCTTCCCAAGTGCCTCCATTTTATATAAACTATTTTCATTTTAGGGCTTTATGTTTGTTTTTAAGGCAAAAAAAGAGTAAGTAGAACTAAAATTAGGGTCTCTCATTCAAAGGTCATGCCCTATGTTAAATAATTGTCAAAGATTATATACAATAATATGTTTTAACAAAAATAAAACTTCAGGCCATATGCAGTGGCTCACACCTGTAATCCCAGCACTTTGGAGGCTGAGGCAGGCAGATCACTTGAGGTCAGGAGTTTGAGATCAGCCTAGTCAACATGGTGAAACCCCATCTCTAGTAAAAATACAAAAATTAGCCAAGCATGGTGGTACACAACTGTAGTCCCAGATACTCAGGAGGCTGAGGCCAAAGGATCACTTGAACCTGGGAGATGGAGGTTGCAGTGAGCTGAGATTGTGCCACTGCACTCCTGCCTGGGTGACAGAGTGAAACTCTGTCTCAAAAACAAAACAATAAAAATTAAAAATGAAACTTCATGTATATATGTATTCAACAATTCTATCCTTCAATATATCAAAGGTTTAATATCCAAAATTTAAAAAAATTCTATGCTTCAGCTTAAAAAAATTAACTGACCAAGTATCAGTCCGTATAACATCTAATAAAGCTTTTTTTTCTGATTCCATTTAGTTCAGAATTTACTGAGCATATCCTATTTGCCAAATTCAATTATAGATGCTGAGGTACAAAGATAAGATCCAGTCATTGGCCTTAATGAAACATACAGTCTAATAAAAGAGACAGGCAGATAAACAGACGGTACCAGTACATGGAGACATGTGTTCAGTACCATGGAAGCACAGAGGAGGAAAGCTTGTGAAGGAAATCCAAGAAGGCAAGCATGATGGTACAGATTGAACTTAAGGATACATCGGATTTAGCCCAACAAACATGGTAAGTAGGGGTGTCATTAAATAATTTGCATGAAGCCACCTGAGAAAAATTTCAAACTATATGTTATTCTCGCCTTTAAAAAAAATCACTATATAAATTGTTATTACATAATTTTTACTACTCAAAATGAAAAGAGAGAAATAAGATGGTTATTGCACTTATCTCATTAGAGAAATAAGGAAGTGGGGTGGTTCGTGTCTTTTTTCCCAAAACAAGTAATTAGAAAGAACAAAGGTAAATACATTATTCAATGTAAAGGAAAAAAAAAACAGCTTAAGTTATTTAAAGTCACACCGTAACAACATACTATAAAGTAAAAAAAAGTGAAATGGGATGATTATTCATCTTGAAAGGTAGAATGGCCTTATTCAAGGACTGTTTTCGTCAAAATCTTTTCAAAATATTCTCTTGCTACTGTTAAATTATATAGCATGAAAAGTCTGATTATTTTCCCTGCTTTTGCTCACAGAACCATTAAATGTACTTTTTAGACATCTCTACAATTTATTTCCTTTCAATAATGTGGGTAACATATAAAAGAGTATTCTGATGGAAAATCTATTCTGGTGGCTACTAGGTTTACTCTTCCCTTTTCTTTGCTATTTTCCTTTCTTTTAAAAAGTACTCTCCCACAACTGACATTTCTAGATATTTAGAGTCCGAAAACATGTAAAGAACAGCAGTCTCTATGCAATATTTTATATCTTGCCCCTTTAAAGCAAACCACCAAGTTTTGCTGAAGTTTATAAGGTTTATTGAGATATAATTTACATAAAATTCATTTGAAGTATACAATTCAACTGTTTTCGGTATATTCAGAGTTGTGCAGACATCATCACCTCAACCCAATTTTAGAACTTTTTCATCGCCCCCAAAAGAAAGCCTATACCCATTAGCAGCCACTTTCCATTTTCTCTCAACCCCTCCAGTCCTGGGCAATCATTAATCTACTTTGTCTCTACAGATTTGCCTGTTGGGGATATTTCGTATACATGGAATCATACATCGTACAGTCTTATGTCTAGCTTCTTTCCCTTAAGCATAATATTTTCAAGGTTCATTTATGTCATAACATGCATCAGTGATTCATCCTTTTTATGGATGCATAATAATATTCCATTATATGAACATATCATATTTTACATATCCATTCATCAGGTAGACATTTCTATGTAACTGAATGTTTGTATGCCTGTCTCCCCAACTCCCCAATTCATATGTTGAAGCTCCTACCCCTAATGTGATGATATCTGGAGGTGAGACTTTTGGAGGTGATGAGGTCATGTGGGAGTGGCGTCCCCAGGATGGGATTAGTGCCCTTACAAGAGGAAGAGCCTGAAGCTTGCTTCTCTTTCCACAGCACAAACAGAGGGAAGGCCATGTGAGACACAGTAAGAAAGTGACCATCTACAAGGCAGGAAGGAGACGTTTTTTGGTTTTGGTTCCTCACCAGGAACCAAATTAAATTCCACCTTGTTCTTGGACTTCCCAGCCTCCAGAGTTGTGAGAAATAAATGTCTGTTGCTTAAGCCACCCAGTCTATGATATTTTGTTATGGCAGCCCAAGCTAAGAAAGACATTTAGAGCTAGGCATGGTGCCTCACGGCTGTAATCCCAGCACTTCGGGAGGCCAAGGTGGGTGGATCATGAGGTCAAGAGATCGAGACCACCCTGGCCAACATGGTGAAACCCTGTCTCTGCTAAAAATACAAAAATTAGCCAGGCATGGTGGCACGCACCTATAGTCCCAGCTACTCAGGAGGCTGAGGCAGGAGAATCGCTTGAACCTGGGAGGCAGAGGTTGCAGTGAGCTGAGATCACGCCGCTGCACTCCAGCCTGGCGACAGAGCAAGACTCTGTCTCAAAAAAGGAAGAAAAAAAAAAGAAAGACCCAAGTTTTGTTTCTACATTTTGGCTATTATGAATAGTGGTGCTGTGAAGACTCATATTCAAGTTTTTATGTGGACATATGTTTTTATTTCATTCATTCATATATACTTCAGAGTGAAATTTCTGGGTCACATGGTTTAGTATTTTGAGGAAGTGTTCTTCAGAGTATTGGTACCATCTTATATTCCTATCAGCAATATACTAATTTCTCCATCTCTTGCCAATATTTATCACTGGCTGTCTTTGTGATTACAGCCATCCTAGTGGATTTGAAATGGTATTTCATTATGATTTGGATTGGTATTTCCTTAATGAGGACCCCATTTGTTTTTAACAAACATCTACTGTGCACTTAATGCTCCACGCATTTTCACTGGGATAAGCAAAGCATTTCCACTGGGATAAGTGAGTGTACAAGAGAAATATGGTTCCTGTCTCAGAACTTCAAACCATTAAAAATGCAAAAAGGGGCTAGGTATGGTGGTTCACACCTGTAATCCCAGGACTTTGGGAGGCCAAGGTGGGCAGATCCCTTGGCCTCAGGAGTTCGAAACCAGCCTGGGCAACATGGAGAAACTTTGTCTCTACAAAACATACAGAAGGTTAACTGGGCATGCTGGCATAGTCCTGTAGTCATAGCTACTTGGGAGGCTGAGGTGGGAGAATCACTTGAGCCTGGAAGGTCGAGGCTGCAGTTAGCCACGACTGTGCCACTGTACTCCAGCCTGGGTGACAGAGTGAGATCTTGTCAAAACAAAAAAAACAAAACCAAAACCAAAAAAAATAACCCAAAGAAAACAACAAAAAAACCACCGAAAAGGAAAGTTATAGAGCTATGAGAATCTATGCAAAGAGTAATGTTATTACCTTGTCTAGGGGGTCAACAGAGGGCTGTTTGGGGAAGTAACACTTAAGCTAAAATCTGAATAATAAATTAAAATTAACCAGATGAAATAATTTTTCTTTTTTAAATGAGGCCAGGTGCGGTGGCTCACACCGGTAATCCTAGCACTTTGGGAGGTCAAGGTGGGTGGATTACCTGAGGTCAGGAGTTCAAAACCAGCCTGGCCAACACAGTGAGAACCCATCTCTACCAAAAATCCAAAAATTAGCCAGGTGTCACAGTGCACGCCTGTAGTCCCAGCTACTCGGAGGCTGAGGCTGGAGAATTGCTTTAACCTAAGAGACAGAGGGTTGCAGTGAGCCGAGATGGCACCACTGCACTCCAGCCTGGGCAGCAGAGCAAGACTCCTTCTTAAAAAAAAAAAAAAAAAAAAGGATAGTTCTATGTAGAGGAGTCATCTAGAATAAAACAAAGTGCATTTGAAGAACTAAAAGAGCTTAGCTTAAACCATGAACAACTTGGTGTAGTGATCCAATGATGAAACTGGCAGACATGATTTATAGAAACTAGATTAAGAACTTTTAAAGCCATGTTAAAATCTGATTCAGATTTGGACTTTATCCTGAGGAGAAAGAACAGTTGTTAAAAAACTACACAAACACGCTGGGTGTAGTGGTTCATGCATGTAATCCCAGCACTTTGGGAGGCCAAGGTGGGCGGATCACGAGGTCAGGAAATCAAGACATCCTTGCTAACAGGATGAAACCCCGTCTCTACTAAAAATACAAAAAAATTAGCCAGACATGGTTGGTGAGCACCTGTAGTCCCAGCTACTAGGGAGGCTGAGGCAGGAGAATCACTTGAAACTGGGAAGTGGAGGTTGTGGCGAGCCAAGATCGCACCACTGCATTCCAGCCTGGGCAATGGAGCGAGACTCCATCTCAAAAAAAGAAAAAAGAAAAAAGAAAAAAAAACTACACATACACATAGGAACTAATATAATAAGTTTTGCATTTAAAAAATACCACTCTGGCTACAAGGCAGGAAAATGTCTAAAGACTAGTTTTCCAATTTTGATAGCAAAAATATTTTAAAGGAACCCCAATATGTATATTTATTTGTAAACTGTTTTAAATTGTATACACATTCTGTGTATACAGAGTGTGGTGCTAAGATACTATCCACACTTTAAAACACATAAAATATATTTTTCAAAAATGAGGTAAATAAGGCCTGGCGTGGTGGCTCACACCTGTAATCCCAGCACTTTGGGAGGCCAAGGTAGGCAGATCACTGAGGTCAGGAGTTCGAGATCAGCCTAGCCAACATGGCGAAACTCTTTCTTTACTAAAAATACAAAAATCAGCTGAGCGTGGTGGCACATGCCTCTAATTCCAGCTACTTGGGAGGCTGAGGCAGGAGAATCACTTGAACCCAGGAGGCAGAGGGTACAGTGAGCCAAGATGGTGCTATTGCACTCCAGCCTGGGCAACAAGAGTGAAACTCTGTCTCGCAGGAAAAAAAAAAAAAAAAAAAAAGAGGTAAAGAAGTAACTATATAAAAATAGAAGTTTTTTGTCTTGTTTTGTTTTTTGAAACAGAGTCCCACTCTGTTGCCCAGGCTGGAGCACAATGGCACAATCTTGGCTCACTGCAACCTCCGCCTCCCGGGTTCAAGCAATTCTCCTGTCTCAGGCTCCCGAGTAGTTGGGATTACAAGCACCCACCACCACACCTGGATAATTTTTGTATTTTTAGTAGAGACAGGGTTTTGCCATGTTGGCAAGTCCGGTCTCAAACTCCTGACATCAGGTGATACACCCACCTCAGCCTCCCAAAGTACTGGGATTACAGGCATAAGTCACCGCAGCCAGCCACAAATAGAAGTTAAGGAGTTTTCTTCCTGCATCCCAACATATTTTTCTCTCTCCCTGTAGTGTGTGCATCCTACTTGTAACTGCTAGTTTAAATAATGAATAAACTCCTTGTAAGGACTGTAAGGCATACATGGAGCTTCATAATTGGGCTTCGTTGATTTCTTCCACTGCAGCTTGTAGTTCAGTCACAGCTGACTGCCTTTGGTCTCTGATCTCACACCATTAACTCTAGTCTGCTTTGCCTTTGCTCATCTTGTGCTCACTCTGTCTCTTCTGCCTGGAATGCTTATTCTTTCCATTGTTCAGTCCCATTTGTCCCCAACCTATCTCTCTGCTTATTGAAACCTTATGCAACTTTGTGGCTGGGCATGGTGGTCCACGCCTGTAATCCCAGCACTTTGGGAGGCTGAGGCGGTCGTATCACTTGAGATCAGGAGTTTGAGACCAGCCTGGCCAACATGGTGAAACCTCGTCTCTACTAAAAATAGAAAAAAAAAAAATTAGCTGGGCATGGTGGCGCGTGCCTGTAATCCCAGCTACTCAGGAGGCTGAGGCGGGAGAATTGCCTGAACCCAGGAGGCAGAGGTTACGGTGAGCCGAGATAGGGACATTGCACTCCAGCCTGGGTAACAAAAGCGAAACTCCGTCTCAAAAAAAAAAAAAAAAAAAAAAAAAAAGAATACGAATCAAGGCAAAATCAGAGAAACCAAATAAAATAATTCAAAAAGCAGAAGTGCAAATATAAGGCACGTATTTAGAATCAAACATATTTTCATTAGATGGGAAAAAAAATGAGGGCAATAATTTTTAGATCCTAGTAAATTCAGGAAAACACAGAAAAGATAGTCCATATTATCTTTCTCTCAATACAACATACTTTCTGTGGTTATAACAAGGCTATCAAGAGAAAATCTCCAAATCAGCTTTGGAACTTCTTTCTTCCTTTGTAAATTCTGGGCCCAGCATGGTGGCTCATGCCTATAATCCTAGGACTTTGGGAGGCCAAAACAGGAGAATTGCTTGAGCCCAGGAGTTTGAGACCAGCCCAGCCTGGACTGACACAATGTCTCTATAAAAAATTAGCCTGGTATGGTGGTACACACCTATGGTTCCAGCTATAAGGGAGGCTGAGGTGGCAGGATCACTTGAACCTAGGAGATTGAAGCTGCAGTGAGCCGTGATTGTGCCACTGCACTCCAGCCTGGGTGACAGAGTGAGATCCTGTCTCAAATCTATCTCTATGCTTAGATATAGATATACATATACATATATATTTATATATATGATCATGTCACTCTCCTGTTTAAAACCCTCCATTGGCTTTCCATTGTTCTTAGAATAAACTTTAGACTCTACTCTGGCCTGTATGATCTGGTTCCGTCCCAAATCTCTCAACCTCATATTCTACCATTTTCCCTCTTGACTTCTGAGGTATATTAGGAGAAAGTTAGGAAGTACACAGATAATTACAATATGGTGGCCTAAATGCTGTAATTAAAATATACATCGTATTCTGTGGGAGAGCAGAAAAGTCATCTGATCTTAGCAGGAGACTGAGGAAGGTTTAAAAGGAAGCTTTCTAGAGGAAGCAGGGTCCTAAGTGATAGCTATGCGGAGTTCACCAGACAAAGAATGTTAAAGGCAGAGATATGAAAATACATATGGTACTGAAAACACCAAGTAGTTTGATATAGCTAAACTGTGGGGTACATATGGGAGAGTTACAGAAGATGAACCTAGCAAGACAAGCAGAGTCCAGATTAGAACCCGTGTGCTAAGAAATACAGATTTTCAAAT